TGCCAGGTCGGTATATCACATCATATTTGTACTCGGACAACTCAATCCTNCTCCATCGTTGTATCTTGTCGTTTTTCACTTTACCCTTCTGTCCACCGCCGTACATGAATGTGACTGAACGCTGATCGGTGATCAGTTTGAAGGGTCTTCCGAGTAGATAGTGCCGCCATTTCCTGATGGATTCAACGATAGCGTAGGCATCCTTCTCGACGGCAGAATGATTCTTCTCGCTCGGATTGAGTGTCCTCGAGAAAAAGGCCACCGGTCGACGGTTTGGGCTTAGGGATGCGGCTATAGCCACATCGGAGACATCCGTTTCAACAACCAAAGGCTCGTTATAATCTGTTGTAATTAGTGTAGCATTTTTTAGTTCGTTCTTTAGGTTGTCGAAGGCCAGCTCGACGTTGGCACGTAGAGGGAATGTTTTATTCTTTACCAGTTTGTTGATTTTGTCAGAAAATGGGGATATCCAATGAGCGTAATATGCAAACATACCGATGACACGTTGCATTTCCGTGGTAGTACGCGAAGGAGGTAACTGACGGATGGGTTCCATGTGCTCATGGTCTGGCCTTATGACACCCTTGGAAACCTCATAACCTAGGAGGCGGATGACTTTTGAAGAAGTGACTGTTTTGTCATCATTGAGAGTGATCCCATACTTCCTCGTAGCTCTCAAAAATGACTGGAGATTGAGATCGTGTTCCTCTTGGGTCTTGCCATAAATAGTCACATTTTCTATGTAGGCATACGTGCTTCTCAGCTTTGCAGTCGTAATGATATTGTTAATAGTTCGCCGAAAACACGCAACACCGTTTGTGAAAACGAAGGGTATGCGACAAAACTGAAACAGGCCACATGCTTCGAATGCTGTAAAAGGTTTGTCGGATGCAGAGATGGGGACTTGATGGTAAGCAGACAAGAGGTCTAATGTACTATAGACCTCGTAGTGCGAACTTTCCTCAATCATTTTGTCCAAGCGCGGCGGAGGGTAAGCGTCCAGATATGTGAACCGGTTGATAGTTTGGCTGTAGTCAACAGCCATCCGGCGTTTGTGATTGATACCCTTGGTAACCAAAACCTGCGCTCTCCAGGGAGACGTTGACGGTTCGATGATGCCTTCTTGCAATAAGCGGTCAACTTCGGCGCGAATGAATTTTCCATCATCCGAGTGATGCCTTCTTGATTTGGTTGCAACAGGCTTGCAATCTGGAGACAAGTTGGCGGAAAGTGGTGGTGATTCAGCGTTTACAGCCGTCAGGCCGCGCATCACGATCTCCGCCGAATGAAATTTCTACCTTGCCATGTAAACCTGAAAAGCCATGCCCGAGTAAAACGTCGTTCCAGAGGTTTGGCATTACAAAGAGCTTCAGTTCATTGTATGAGGTATCTCTGTATCGGACAGAAACACAGGTGTAACCAGTCGTTCGACAGGATAGGGATGTAGACGCCATTGTGACGACTGAGAAATTTCCAATTATGCAGTTTCACGACCTTAGCTTTAATGAAACTGCAAAAACTCCCTGTGTCCACCAGAGCACGGAGAGTGATGCCATTGACTTCGATAGTTGCGATGGCATGTGCCAGGCAGGTAGGAGCTGCTGCAACGAATAATGACGATAATGTAGGCTTTGTTGTACAACTTGTGTGGAACTTGGAGGTATTTTTTGAACGGCACACGCGGCGGATTTGACCGCGTTTACCACAAAGATTGCAGACGGCTTCTCGAGAGGGGCATTTTGGACGAAGATGTGCATCATAACCGCAGAAATAACATGTCTGAATGGATTTTACGGCAGCAGTGGTCGGATCAACACGCAATTCGGGATTTTGTGAAATGGGTGGAATCGTAGAGTAAGATATGTGTTCGTTACTAACATATGACTGTGACTGTTTGTGAGCCAATTCGAGGGATCTAGCCAGCTGATATGTTTGGTCCAGAGTGAGTTCGCTCTGTGCTAGAAGTTTCTCGTGGATGGATGTGGACGCCAGGCCGTTAATTATAGCATCAAGCACGCACTCATCTTGATATTCAGTTGCAGACAGATTTAAACTCACAGTCTTTGGCTAATGATTTCAGTTTTTGTACGAACTGATCGATATCTTGTCCACTCTCCTGCTTGTAGGTCTGTAGCAGGTAGCGTGCATATATGACATTTTTCGGACGGACATATAATTTCCGTAACGTGTCGATTGCAGGTTCATAGTCGGTGTGGTCAGCAATGTGATCGTATACTAACGGATCCACAAAGTGGATGAGAGTTTCAAGTTTGTTGGGTTTAAAAGATTCGACAGTTTTCAGATAGATTTCGAAGGTACGAAACGAGTGATTCCAGCGTTTTGCTGCATCTCCGGAGTTTGGGTCAGCGTCGAAGAACCGAGGTCGTAGTTGCGGATCCATTGTGTTCTTAGACAAGTAAATTGAGACGTTTAGAATGAGTCCGAGAACGAGTTAGAACAGAGTCCAGGTTTTCGAGGATAGGCAACGTTTTACTTGTCTAAGAACAAGCGTACATGAGCTGAAATGTACATACGAGTATATGTGGTAAGTATAAGAATAATCATGCAAAAATCATGACACGCTGCTCTTGGTTTAACTGCTCCCCTTTGGCCTTCCTGGCATGGTTGTACCTTGTGGAACGAAGCTCCAGCTGGTGTTGCCCGTGGGATCATTGCAGCACTCAAGCCCGTCTACCACGCCAAGGTGTCAGCTTTAGGTTGGGGTCAAAGTGAATCTCTTCAGTATATCTCAGTGGGTCACAGAGGTACACAAAGTTTCACACGATAAGATCCGGTCTCTTTGTAGGAGAGCGACGGCTTCATGCGTTCATTGGGAGTTGGCGTGCAGCGGTTTAAGGAGACTCAATAACTTTTTGGGGACACCTTTGCTTTACAGACACTACCATAGTGTCTGACGGTTCACAGGGTCAAAGCAGCATTTCTTTATCGTTGGTTGATGGAGGCAGCGTCGGAGGATGAAAGTGTGGTCGATATATCTTTTTGCAGGACACAATCCAGCTTGGTTTTCACGGATCTGCCTCTTTTTCGCCCATCCTTCGAAGGATGAGACTAGAGAGCATTCTAGATGCCACAGCTAGGCTAATGCTACAATGGTTTTCACACAGTGTTCACGTGCCAATGCAGGACACAGCTTGGTTTTCACGGATCTGCCTCTTTTTCGCCCATCCTTCGAAGGATGAGACTAGAGAGCATTCTAGATGCCACAGCTAGGCTAATGCTACAATGGTTTTCACACAGTGTTCACGTGCCAATTTTGAAGAAGGGAATGACTGTCGATGTACCTCACTCTGCCCACGCTTTTTCTCCATTCCATATAGCACCAATAACTTCCGTTTACTAGGTCACCAGGGATTCTATGTCTTGTTTGAAGAGGGCCTCCTCACGTTTTAGAAGGGATGTTTAGTATTTTGTTCCTTCTGACGGGTGACTACATCCCATATGCTTGCGCGCACTGTCTCCACTGGTTGCGTCGCAGAAGGCCAGCTAAACTGTCCTTCGAAGTGTTTGGCTCATCTTTCCAGTGGGCGCTTTTGTGAATGAACTAACGAAGTGTCTTGTCCACATATCGTTTAGCTGACAGTTACTTCTTTTTTACCAGTCGATCGGATTAGTTGGTATGAGGCGCAGTTGTTTCCGGTAGCAGGTGCCTTCTCCATCTCTTGGGTTTTCAATATTCACCAAAGCTCACGGTCTTCACTTAGGCTGCTATTTATTTTGTGTCTGAAGGATTTGCGCGCGCTGCCGTACTCGTTGCCTTTTGGTATGGAATTCCCAGCATTGATCACGACTAGCGACCTCGGCAATATCCACTGACCATTTGATCGTATCGGAGAAGTCAGGAGAGTGGAAACTAGTGTTCATCCAAGCCTCCTATAGGTAGTCGGGATGTGGTCTACCTGTGTTGGAGGTTGACTCACATGCGGGATCATCATGTGGACAAGCGGCTTTGGATGTTTCAGCAGTCAGTACTGCACAGAAACAGTCTATGGTCGTCTTATTGCTGCAGCAGGAGCCCGCCGTTTTCCGTGCGTCTCGATTTAACTACAAGACAAGCACCCAATTGAGCCTCACTCACACTAAGTCCACCTGCTTGCACAATCATATCCTCGGCAACCACAACAATTTCCGATCCTTTAGCCTGCCGTAATAAGGCACTCAAAACGTAAAACCTTTCTGGGTGAGTATCAGAGCCAGCCTGTTGTGGTGGAAGCAGATACAATGAACAAACAGCAATTATCGGCGCTTTCGCGGGACACTCTCAGACATTGCTAGACGAACGCCACAGGCGAGAATCAACAGGTAGTCATTTAAGCAGAGACTCTCCAGCCAGGTAGCTTAAAATGTACCGGTCACAGAAAGTTGCTTGGGGTTTATTACCTTGTTTCTAGGGCTTGAGCAGGTACAAAAACACTTTGGAGTCAGTTCACCCGGGATAAAAACACTAGAAGAGGGAGTCAGTCATTTTGGCTGGTTAATTGGAATGGTACTTATGGGTTACCTGCAAGCTGATAGTCATCCATCCCGGTGTTGTCCTGAGGAAATGGCTCACAGGTCGACAGTGGTCAACTTTTGCGCTGCCATCAAGTTATTCCGTAGATCGGTTTCGGTCGCTAACCGTCCTGTCCCACATCTTCAGTTCCTGGTGTGTAGTAGAAGGAATGGATTGTGATGTGTTGTAACGGACCATAACAGGTTTCGATCTCTCTTGACGGGGATAGAAAAAGACCGGGATTTGTGTAAAGGGACTTCGAGAACACTTTGATAGCGTTTCTCAGGTTTCCTCAATCTCTGCAACAGATGCGCTTTCTGAGTGCTCGAATCTTCATCTTTTAGAGCAGTAGTCGTGGTACACTTTCTGCAGCCCTTCAGGAATGCGTCGGGATGCTCATAGGTGAAGTGGACGTCATTGATTCCATATGTGTCGTGTTCAGAGAAAGTGTGGTGTTCACTGTTTTGAGGGAGGGGGTCATCATGAATAATCCAGGTGTCTTAGCACAACATGTGTTTATTGTGGTCTGGGTCATTTGATCCGTCCAAATTTGTTCTTAACCGTCTCCCTCCTTGGCTTTGGGAAATTTGTCCAATGGATCGCTTCTGCTTAGGATAATGAAGGACAAGGGCGAATGTCCTTTCCTCTATGCTTCTGATGGGGAGTCTGACTGCTGTGCACAGGGAGGAAGCCGCGATCCAAATGTTCCTGTTGTATTCATATATGCTTGTGTATACCTATGTAATGGATAAATTTCTATCTAATCTGTGCATACTATTTGACCAATATAGGGATGATGGCGAATCGTCTACCCCACTACTGTATTGTCGGTGGAGGTATAGCCGGCCTGAGCACAGCTTACTTTATATCACTTGTACGACCGCCTGGATCATGCCGTTTGACAGTACTTGAAGCTGGAAATAAATTTGGCGGTTGGATTCACTCGATGAAAAACCCACGAACCGGTGCAGTCTATGAGCTTGGTCCACACAGTGCTCGCGCTGTTGGCCCAACATCCAGGTTGTTGTTACGCTTGGCGCTCAGTTTGGATCTACATAATTCTTTGTTATGGATGCGATCGAACGAGGATGCTGTCCGCCGTTTCATCTATGTCGGGGGCAATTTAGCGGAAATTTCTCCTTTTCGGCTGCACAAGGAAAAACCATTTACTCGGACGCATATTGGAATGTTTGCTAGGCGTTTGTTGGCATCGCGCCCTCCTCATAAATCGGATTGGTCAGTCGACGAATTCCTACGAACTCGTTTCGATGATGAGTTTGCTGATTATTTGGGTAGTGCCATGATGCGCGGAATATACGCTGGCGACTCACGTGAACTCAGCGCTCGGGCGTGCTTACCAAAAGTGAGTACAAGGCTTTATTGGTTAAGATTCATCCTTGCTGTTAGCAGTTCTCGTGTTTAGTAACATACGCTACTGGTGTCAGCTGGACATTATTTCTAGGTGACATTCGAATAAGTTTACGGAGACGGGTGATTTTTCTCTAATCTAACGGCGATTCGGCCCATCACTTTGGTCGAAGGTAAACTCACTATGGCACTGTTACAACCAGGTTGGCCATTTCGTGGTCAAATTATGTGGTTAGGGGTAGCTCGGCGTTCACTGTGTGACCCACTGACCCAATCCTGGCTTCCCACTTGTCCGCTTTCGTGATTGGACAACTTCTGGGTTGCATGAAAGACGCACCAAAAAGTGCGTAGGCTGAAGATTCCTCTTGAAATATCTTGATATTCATAATTGCTGATTTATCCTTAAACACCCTTCAGCTCTTGAGCCGTATTCCCAACCAGAACCACCTATTTCTCGAATCAGTTTGTTGAACTCCACTCGGTCGGCTTGGGTAGTCTTGATTCATTGCTTAGTGGATGGACTAAGAGTTCATTCTCACTCGTCAGCCTTTCAAACACTGTTTCTCTAACGAGTTCAGACAAAGTAGTTCATAAACGTTCTTCATCATACGAGTTCGGTTTCACAGTTATGCTACACATGTCCAGTGAACAATTATCTACCCTCACGTCGTCTCAGAGTGCCGTAGTTTGCGGTTATTGGTCTGGCGGGTTTACTCCTGTGAGGGTTGATTGGTAGTCCGTATCTTCAGGGGTGTCCGAACTCTTTTTCCGGACTCCTGACGTGCGATGCGACCGTGGTACTGCCATTGCACCAAAATGCACTGAATGCACTTCGATCATCCTCTAAGAACAGGCAAACACGTTGACGACTTCAGCGATGTTGATTGGTTTGCTCGATGTGATAACCCGTGTTCGTCCAATATGCGCTGGTGGAGTCGTGGTAACACACCCACATCTCATGACAGATCCGGGATGACAGGCGGACTGTTCAAACGAGAGCGAGGTGGGTGCAAGTTTCCATCCATCCAATCATTGTGTGCGAAAATTTTACTATAAGACCATTCAACTTAAGGGTAAAGAAGTGCACCAACAAGGAGGCATCATAGCAGCCCGTCTGGGGATCTTTGGGTTAAATAACTTCCCCATTATGTTCATGCCATGGGTGTGCGGGAGAGTGTCCTTTCCAGAGGAAGTCGGATGCCAGAAGAACTGTTTCTTATGAGGAGTGAATCATATTTTTCTGCCAACACAGTGGAATTTTCTTCTTACTGCCTGCATTATCGGTGGTGTTTGCAAGTCTAATCAACGCCCTTTCCTTTTCCACTCTGTATAGCTTGTAGAAACCGAAGAAAATGGCCCAAATTTGCTACTGGGAATGTTGCTGTCAGCCATTAGGCCATCGAAATCTCCATCTTCTTCGGTTACCATACCCTCACAGATCAATTCAAAATTGCCTGAAATCGGCTCTATTTTACCTCCGAAAACATTTGCGTGGTCTCTTCACAACGGTATGCAAACGATCACGGATAGTCTTGCAGAAAAAATCCGCAACTTGGGCCCTCACGTTACACTTCAAGCCAACGCATGCGTTCGCGGAATTTCTCATTCTGGCGGCAAGTTTTCTCTACAGTGGAGTGACGAACAAAATCTCCACGCCAATCTACAAGATGTCGATGCTATTTTCCTTTGCTGTCCTTCCTACCGGTCTGCGGAATTGCTCAAAGAATTGACCAGTCCAGAAGTGATTAGTCGTCTTCGAAAAGATAAACTCCCATGGGCCAATGTAGCGGCTACTGTGGTGGAATTGGACCGGAAGTCAGCACAACCGCCAGTGCGTGGTTTCGGGCACCTGGTTCCGCGAACCGAAGATCCTCACATTTTGGGAATTGTGTATGATTCGGTGGCATTCCCGGATTTAGACAGCCCCGACGGATCGTCAGTAAGATACACAGTGATGCTAACTCCACCTTCTGACTGGTTGTCTTGTGGTGAATGTATTGATGATAAAATCGAAAAGAAAGCATTAGATGCATTGAAGGAACATCTGAAGTTTCAGAACCTGGAAGTTTTGGGTTTGACGTCCACGTTGCTTCGCGACTGCATTCCACAATATCCACTCGGACATATAGATAATATTCGAGCGGCGCGCGAAGAGCTTCGTTCCTCCTTGTGCCAACAGTCTTTCAATTCCAATGCTATTCATCTAGTCGGTTCCTCTTACGATGGTGTCGGCCTTGGTGATGTGGTATTCAGTGCCTTAAAGGCAGTTTGTAGTGAACTGAATCTTTCAGTATAGATATAGTTGTTTATAATGATTGTTTTACTTTGTACAAACTTACTTTCCATTTTCTAAAAAGTTTTTTTTTCAAGATGGCTGTTCTACCTCGGCCTCCCATTTGGACGCACATTCATCAAATATGGATAGTTATTCAAGAATAGTGAGTTTTCGGTCCCTAACCAATCCTTCATGTTCAGTACCCGGCGTAGCTCCCCAACCTTACCCAGTTTTGTGTGGTGGGAGACCTCGCATGGAAGCATTAAGATTTCCTAAAATTATGGCTGCGTAGAAAATAAAGTCTTTGGGTCGCTGCCATGAAAAAGTTAAAAAGAAAGCCTAAATGCTGCACCAATGGAAAAAAAAGGACCCAGATAATCACAGGGAATGCAAGTCCGAACCGCTAACATCTCGATTATGCTGTCTGAAAATCAGCTCCTCTTTTGGTTTGGTTTTCTCATCTTTATCAGTTCTGTATGGCTCTGAAAGCAGCACTACACGACTGTTAGTTCAAATCAGCAATGCTTAAGGGTTTCCTAATGAGACGGTATGCGAATAATGGATCTTTTTGTCGGTGTGGTCCGCTCGCTTGCCCACTTGCGGTGTTTTTTTCTTGCTGCAGTATACGGAACAGTTTGCGTGACAAGCTGGATCCTTTGTCTGCAATAAACGTGTCGCCAAGCTGATTCGGTCAGTTGACGTTTTGGAGACTCTTCTATCATGCGGTTTGTTATACCGGAATGTCGACAGCTGCCATACACTACTGTTTTCGGACAAGAATTTCACTCCTGAGTATCACAGCATTACTGTTCCAAGGGAACAAATTCCAATCAAACCGTTATTCATTTAGGTAGTTAACTAACCGCAGTGAGGACTGGAAAAGTTTCTACGGCGGTAAATAAACGGTGGTTCAGAAGAAGTTAGGAATTAACCGAACAGTACAAACCCGACCACAGCGGTCTGCTTGATTGATTGTATACTACTCAAAGACTCCAAGTAGCTTGATCAATGCATCACGTCTGGTTAGGTGGACTGATCTCCGCTGCGAAAGCAGTGAACAGTCCAGAGATGGTTTGTATCCTGGTTCGTCGTGTTGGTGATGATAGTGAATTTAAATGAAGTAGGTTCCATAATGCGCAGGTACGACTGACGTACGCCCACTTTTATTCCCTGACTTCGTCGGTAAGTCCTAGAATAAAACCCATTTTTCTTCTTGCTGTAACAGCTCCTCCGGGTGTAACCATGCCGATCAGTGACCAACAAACCTTGCTGTCCGTAGATGCGGTCTTCTCTTAGGCCATTGACCCCTAGTTAGCCGACTCTTCGCATGCCATCGAGGCTTGCCGTGCGAAACTAATTTCATGTATTCTCCGCGTAATATCATTGATAGGAAATAGAATTGCGAGTCTTCAATACAGCCGTTTCCTTCTTTCAATGTGATCTTTACTATGATATGAAATTCAAACTTAAAGTCATTGAAGACCAGTCCCATACTAGCCAAGTCCGTGACTAGGATTGCGCGGAACCGTGATTTTCTGAACGCCACTTGGAATACGAAAAGTCCGAAAATTTACTTGAGGTAGTGCATCTGGTTCCAGGTGGAGCGTATAAGTTTCATGGTTTGAACTTTTCAGTGACTTCAATATGTTCCCGACTTACTGGGATATTGTATCGTCTATCTGTCTTATAAACACCTTCCTGGAATCTTGCCTCATTTAAACTGTCCAAAATGTGGTGGTATTACTTCACCATCATTGAGTACGCTTTCTGTTACCACAGCGCTCATTTAGTTTCACGGAGCAACAATGAGATAGACTGTAATATTTGGCGATACCATATTGACTTCCTCAGTCGTGAGACCAACTGCAGACTTCGTAAAACAGTTAGATGAGTTGGTCGGAGTTGAGCACAGCTTCTATTGTTCCGGACCAGTTGTCAAAGTTCAAATGCACGTGGGTAGCTTGCTTTACGGAGTTCTATCCATGAAGGCGTGATTGCTGATGCTAACTTAGCATTCCCTCACTGACCTCATTGGGCCTCATTCAACCCCATGTTTCCCTTTTTCACGGCTCTTGAGTTCATTACTATCGTATCCTTCCCAGATAGACCTAATTCCCAACTTCATTATGTGTTTGTCATTGATACAGAAGCATTCATCAACGTAAACCTTTCTCCTTGTTTCATCCGATCGTTTTGACTGTCTCTTCAAAGGTGTTGTTGAAGTCAAATCACATTTTCATTAAAAGAACCTCAAGGGTGCTTTGACCTGGGGGCTGTTCACGAGAAAACGTCAGCTAACCGAGTGACTTAAAAAATTTCATGAACGCAATCCTTTGATGTGTTACGAACAATTGAACTGAACTTCTACTTTGATGTGTTCTACTCCACCTTGACAGTTTTTATAGGACTAATAAATTTTCGTCACCGCTTTTCAGACAACTTTGTAGAACTCAGTAATATTCTTGTCACATGTGGAAGTAGACGGATGTTAGGGAACTAACGAAACTGTGTTCGTCAGACCTCCACCCACTGACCAACCTGGTATGAAAAACTCTGCGAATGTCGAAGCGAAGCCCCCTTAGTGTAGATTGGTGGATCAGAGCGGTGCCCAAACTGCCACATCGCAGTAACATCCAGTCTATTTTCAGCGGGATGGCTGTGAAACGGTTTCATTGCAGAACCTCCCCTAGTTGTTAGTGAAGTTTGTCTTCCAATATCGTCCACAGCAAACTACTTTGGACCAGCTATCTAGATGGGATCCTCATGCTGAGTTCCTGTTTGTCAAAATCTGTCATTACTCTGCTCAGGATTAGAATGCTGAAGATGACGCAAAGCCTCATATTGAAGTTTATCACTAGATTTACCGCCCGCCTTCATATTCCCCATCTCACTACCTGACCTCTGAAGCATTTTTCCACACATCAAGGAATGTACCTGTCAACTTCGTGGTCATTAACTCTAACAATGTTTGAGATAATAAGACACTTTCCACTCACGCTACAACTTTCCCTACTTAGCCTGGGTTCATAGTACTCAGTTAACAAGCAGACTTCCAGCTTGAAACATGGAGTATATGCGTTCCCCTTCCATCCTTCATACTTTTGTATGCTTTTCTAACTTCGCTGCAATTTTGTGCGCTGAANTCATAGTACTAACAAGCAGACTTCCAGCTTGAAACATGGAGTATATGCGTTCCCCTTCCATCCTTCATACTTTTGTATGCTTTTCTAACTTCGCTGCAATTTTGTGCGCTGAAAGTCCACCTCCGGGTCCATGAAGCTCGTGACTCGGTTTGAAAGTTGATGTGCCAGGTTTGATGCTCCCCAGCCATCAAGTTGTCTGAAAAACCAACCGCATTCTGGCACTGTTATGAAACATGGACGCTAGAACGTTTGTCTTTGGTGAAGCGATGCCATCTAATCACTACCCTCCGGAAGTCAACAGGCCAAGTGGTCCTTGTTGTCTTGGGTCTTTTGAAGTTGATCTGGATCAATAAACCGTATGGTGATTTTTGTCCAAACGACTTTAAATGCCTTATATGAAGTGTGACTTTATTCGGTATTCCGGCCGAAGAGGTAAATGGGAGATGTTGATATCCTGTCTTCTTGCTACATTACTTCCTCGGTTAAAACGCATTTTCCATACACAAAGTTGCCCTGCACGGTAGATGCTGTTGGTGGACCTTCAACTTTGAGTGTGTACATTTTAGAATGACTCTACGGTTTTTTGAACTGCTAAACATCCCAAGGCAGTATTTTTAAAATTCGATATGTAACCGTATACGGGTAAAAAAGAAGTATTTACAACCGTGGTTGATTTCGGCTTTGCTTTGAGAGATTTACCTTTGCATTTACTGACAGCAGCAGAAGACTATCTCTATAAAGGGATTGTCAGTTAACATCACTACGAGTTGATTTTAGATCAAGCAGGGACCTTTCAACAAGGAGCTTTCTGTTGAACGGTGAGGTGCTCAGTTTCGTAGTGAGCTTGTTTGTCAATACTCAGATGATTTTTGTGTATCCTTGTTTCAAGTCCGGTAAGGAAAAGCTTTGCACCGTGCTTATATATATATATATATATATATATATATATATATATCGCTCACTCGTCAATCTCTCACTCTCTCTCTCCCTCTCTCACTCGCTCACTCACTCACTCACTCACTCACTCAAAGCTGTTGCGTTTTGTCCATCGGAGACTTTACGACTAAACATCAGTGTTGTCCTGTTTTTCATTTTCTAAGCTCAGTCGTCGCCGTAAAAAAACTGATCTTCCATGAGCCGTAATTTTATGAGGTTACAGGTCCTGTCCGTTGGCAAACAGTTCTGACGCAGTGACAAGCGGTTTATCCTACCGCATCCCTCTCCAAAAGTTCTGCTGGCTAGGGGAGTTGTCACTTGCAGACTAGAGGAGTTTTGTGGATTAGGGACATTTTATGGGAACTGAGACGGATTTTTATTCCTCTCCACTACTTACCGCATCATTTTATAACATCACAATACCTCGTCGACTTTCCCCATGAGGATATTTCCTGTTATCGCTTGCCTTGTTATTTGTACTGCACATTCTACCGTTTCCGCCGGACTTACACATTATAACGGGACACATGATAGCAGCGAGTGATTTGGCCTGATCGGACTGACAATCTAAGCGGCCGATCTATTAAGGGACTTTGAGGAAATTGACAAACTGCATTTCGACATGCCACAACCATCTCAGGAGGTCCAATTCCCAAACGTTTTTGTTTGAAAGTGCCATCTATTTATCAGGCCCCTGACCAACTGCTCCTGGGATTATCACACATTGTACGCTTTCTCGCTTGTCGATTGGCGCGGAATCGCCAATAGCAACAATGAGTTTGGACTGTTTACCTACCTAAACGTTTCACATGATTTGCAACTGGCTATTCTCAGACAAAAAATAAGCACAAAAGACAATTCATGCCAAATGTTACTGTGGGGTCAACTGGGAGATTAATGTACGCATAGTTGTCCTCGATGAAAGTGCGTATCAACTATGGGACCCGTTTGGAGTGAAGTGCTAACCGTCAGCTTCTTCGTCCAATCCAAGTGAATAGCAGACGCAACGGGCGCAAATACAGTGTTGACCCCAA